TTCTTGGTCATTAAATCTTCGTTCAATTTGAGACATTAGCTTAAATGGCAAAGACAATTTAGAGGGGGAAATTAGTAAAATGATGCTTTGGGGGTATTTACAAATATATACAATGCTTGGAAATATATGTAAAAATTTTACAAAAAAAGAAAGTAGTGGCGATCCAAAGAGTTCGAACATAGGACCTGTTATATCATATTCGCTCGAACTCAATTTTGACGGCTCTTTCTCCTCTTAACCTTATAAAAAACTCCAAGAGAACTCTATCCAAACTATTTTCATCCGGTTTTTAGTGATTAAATCTAATTTATCTCCTCTCAGATTCATTAATGATGTTTACAGGCTCAAGTCCATCCGTAAATGAAGCCCAGAGTAGTGGAGTTCATCGAATCTACTAGCATAAAGAATAAAAATAAATAAATTTAAAAACTAACATAGAATTCCTAATTAATTAAAAATATTTTAACATAAGAATCTGATAACATATGTATCTTTCCATCGCAAATGTTTGTATTGGCGATGGATTTCAAATCTGTCGCCAATACCCCATTGTCAATGCTCAGTTTTCTACCTGTTAGTGGTTATCTTTAGATTGGTTTTCTTGAAAGTATAAAAATATGACTAGAAAACCACCCTCTTATATTGCTCATTAATTCCACTAATTTTTGAACAAGCAAGAGGTATTTCCACTAATTCCATTCATTTATTAACGAGAAAACTACTAGATTCCCTGAAGAAGGGACATGCCTCCAGCGACAAAGTTGCGGCTACAGCCTCCTCGATGACGACGCTAGAGGGGAGCAGGGGGCCCTTGAGAAGGCACCAAACAACTATCATGGATCATAGTAGACTTCCACGTCCTCAGCTCTCAAGCTATCATCTACCTGCGTGGAACAAAATAGTATTGGACTACATTTAAAATATTATAGATTTGAGGGACTAATATTAAAATAATCCTTAATTTTTTGTGGGGCCACTCATTAACAATGGGATAATTAATCACTAATGTTAATTTTTTACGATGGCGACGGACATTGGCGACAGATTTGATTCATCGCCAATAAGTATTGGCGACGTATTCGAATCCATCGCCAATAAGTATTAGCGACGGAACATTGGCGATGACTCGAATCCGTCGCCAATACTTATTGGCGATGGATTGAATTCGTCTCCAATATGTATTGGCGACGGATCGAATCTGTCGCCAATAAGTATTGGCGACGAAACATTGGTGACAGATCACATCCGTCGCCAATACTTATTGGCGACAGATTCGATCCGTCGCCAATACTTATTGGCGACGAATTCGACCCGTCGCCAATATGTATTGGCGACGGAACATTGGTGACAAATCTATTCCGTCGCCAATACGTATTGGCGACGCATCATTTCCGTCGTCAATACTTATTGGTGACGAATAGAATCTGTCGCTAATAAGTATTGGCGACAGAACATTGGCGACGGATAGAATCTATCGTCAATACTTATTGGTGACCGATCGAATTCGTCGCTAATGTGTATTGGCGACGGATCGAATATGTCGCCAATAAGTATTGGTGATGAAACATTGGTGACAGATTACATCCGTCGCAAATACTTATTAGCGACAGATTCGATCCTTCGCCAATACTTATTGGCGACGAATTCGATCCGTCGCCAATAAGTATTGGCAACGGAACATTGGAGACGGATCAATTCCGTCGTCAATAGCCAATACTTATTGGCGACGGATTGGATCCGTC